GTTTCAGATCTTTAACTTTTTTTCTCAAAAGAGTTGAAGATTTTTTTCTAAAAAGTCCTAATTTTTTTCAAAAATTTTTGAAATCTGTTTCGCGAGATGAAAAAGATTCACTCTATTTCGGAAACTATAGTTTTTTTAATTTAATCAGTTAATAATAAAAAAAGTTATTATCTAGTTCCTTTGACGTAGTTTGAAACCGGTTTTGTTTAAATTAGAGCCAAATTGAATTTGCTGATGCTGTTTGATGATTTTGTTATATGAATCATTTAAATTAAATATTTTTTTCTAGTTTTTTGATTGTTTTTCGGATTTAAACAAAAATTTCGCCATACGAGGTTTTTTTCTAAAATTTCTGCTTTCTATCCATTATATAACCGCGCAAGGCTTCACCGGGCCTTGACGTGTTATTTAGATGTGTAGAACCGACAATGCTCTTGGATCTTTATTAGAGCAACTCAGCACCGCCAGTTGGTATGCGTGCTGAGCGCAAGAGTGACAATACAGTAGGCGGCGTGCCATTGGCACGCCTACCTACATGATAGTACATATGGCATTGAGGTCAGGTCAACTAGCGTCTTGTCACAATTATTTGTTTTTTTCTGAAGTTAGGTTTTCGAGGTATATAAAATGTTTTTTTTCATTTGCTATTCGAATTTCCCTCATTTCAATACTTTTCGTATTTATAAATGCTTATTCAATGGGAGCTGATTAATTTTCATAATATTTTTTTGTTTTTTTATTTTGTAATCAGTAATGTAGAGTTTCCCCTTTCGAAATCGTTCCTAAATGTTTTTTTAACGTAAGTGAATTTTTTTTTTCACATCATATTCTTCAAACTGACAACTTTCGAACATTTCAGGAGCTATTATCCTGAAATTGCAAATTCTAAAATTGAAAAAAACATTTTGAGTATGCGATAGTGCGTCTTGGTGTGCTTACACCCTATGAATCATAATTTACGATGGTAGGAAGGAATTTTGGGTCCACGAAAATTTGTGAGCGTTAATTGTGCATACACCAATCTTGGATGCTCGAATCTTTGAAAATTTGAATCTTTGAAAACAAATTCTTGGGAATATTCACTTCTTTTCTGATTTTTTTATATTTTTTTCAATTTTTTTGAAAAACGGAAATTGATGGAGATTGTATACAGAGTGAATGAAAATGTGGTAGCCGTTCTGCAGCGAATATTTGACTACGTGTATGCGAGAAAGACGCATTATTTGATAAAAAGTTAGTTGAAAAAATCATACAGTGTTTATTTGTGGTCGAAACACGACGTCCTCACAATAGAACGACAAAGGAAAAAAAAAGGTCAGAAAAGATGGAAATTCAAAAAAGAGGTGAGCATTCCCAAGAATCGTTTTCAAAGATTCAAATTTTCAAAGATTCGAGCATCCAAGATTGGTGTATGCACAATTAACGCTCCCGAATATTCGGGGAACCAAAATTCCTTCCTACCATCTAATTTACGAAAAGTCTTGACCTTTCGTAATGAAAAAAACACCGTGGGCGGGCGCCGTAAATCGTACGGCAGCAGTAGTTTTTTCTGTGCAAGACCCGTTTTCTTATGAACAGACTCACTAACCATAGATTTACTGAAGGATTTAGAAAAAAATGCGCTTTCAATTAACTTTTTAAGTTATTAATAAAAATTTTTGACGTTTCTTGTAGGGTTATTGTCATTATCCAGTTACTTTCACGTAGTTTAAAACCGGTTTCGTGTATTTTGGTGTCAAATTTAATTGGATATGGCAGTTCGAAGTTTTATTTTATAATTAATTCAAATTACATCATTTTTTTCTAGTTTTTTTGATGGTTTTTTTCGAACTATATCAAACATTTCGCTCTCCAAGGTTTCAAATTTTTGATTTCTATTCATTATTCGACTTTCTGAAGCGGAATTTCCAAGGTATAAAATAATTATTCTTTTTTACGGGGCTCTTCTCAAATTTTTGTTTATTCTGAAGTTTTTCATATTTTTATTGATTTTCCGACGCGAGGCAACCTACCTACCATGTTTCTTAAACGGTAACAGTTTCCTTTTTATCGCCTTTTTCTGTCCTTTCATCGACCTTCATTCACCCTTTTGAACAAAAAAATTTTTTTTAATTGAGAATAAGCTCTAACAGTAACTCTGTATGAACCAAAATTTGCTACAGTAATGTAATCGGAAGTTACCAATGACCGAGACTTTCAGCACACGGCATTCCTAATGGGGTGAGGGAAGGTAAGCGAGGCCACGGTGTTTTTTTCATTACGCAAGGTCAAGACTTTTCGTAAATTATGATGCTTAGGGTGTAAGCACACCGAGACGCACCATTGCATACTCAAAATGTTTTTTTTCAATTTTAGAATTTGCGATTTCAGGATAATAGCTCCTGAAATGTTCGAAATTTGTCATTTTGAAGAATATGATGTGAAAAAACATTCACTTACGTTAAAAAAACATTTAGGAACGATTTCGACAAGGGAAAACTCTAAATTACTGATTACAAAAATAAAAAAACAAAAAAATATTATGAAAATGAATCAGCTCCCATTGAATAAGCATTTATAAATACGAAAAAGTATTGAAATGAGGGAAATTCGAATAGCAAATGAAAAACATTTTATATACCTCGAAAAACCTAACTTCAGAAAAAAACAAATAATGGATAGAAAGCAGAAATTTTAGAAAAAAACCCTCGTATGGCGAAATTTTTTTGTTTAAATCCGAAAAAAACAATCAAAAAAACTAGAAAAAAATATATGATTTAGATGATGCATATATCAAAATCATTAAACTGTATCAGCAAATTCAATTTGGCTCTAATTTACGCGAAACCGGTTTTAAACTACGTCAAAGGAACTAGATAATAACTTTTTTTATTATTAACTGATTAAATTAAAAAAACTATAGTTTCCGAAATAGAGTGATTATTTTCATGTCGCGAAACAGATTTCAAAAATTTTTGAAAAAAATTAGGACTTTTAGAAAAAAATCTTCAGCTCTTTTTGAGAAAAAAAGTTAAAGATCTGAAACCGGTTTAGAAAAAAATGCGCAATTTAAAGCTTCACAAGATGTACCCATAGAGAGGCGGATCACATAAACGCAAGAAATAGAAAAAAAGTAAAAAAACCAATGAAAAAAAGTGAAGAAATTCAATTTTTTTGCATCAGAAACCATGAGAAGGGCGCAATAATGCGCCACGGATAATATGCCGCTGGGACCCAAAATTTCGCATTTTTTTTCATTGCGCGGAACACCGTGAGGCGTCAAACTTGAATGCTCAATCACCTTTGGCTGCGTAATTGTGATATGAACTTTCGCGCCAAAATTTTTTTGACGTCTCCCCACCCCGTTTGGGAACGCCGTGCAGCACCCTTTTTGCAGTCTCTCCCTTTTTCACTCTTTTTCAAGCCTTTTAACCGCGCCAAGAATGAAAGGTTCGATAAAGGCCGCAAAAAGGAACCTTTTTAGCGGCCATTTTGCAGTCACTCCATTTTTGCCCCTTTTTCCGTGATTCCGATTTTGTCAGTGAAAAAATTTTTACCAAAAAAAAAATTCTTAATCGTTAAATCAAAGTAGACGTAAATCTCTATGTGAAAAAATAAGCATAATTATCACTTTTCTCGTAAAAAGCTTGATAGTCGACTTGAAAAAACTTTAAAGTTTTTTGGCCGTGCTGGTCATATTTGCTTTAGGCCTTCCTAAAGCCGAGTCGGGCTTGTAAAATGGTCGGTCACGGATAGGTTGACGGGCCGGCCCTCGCACAAGCCTGAATTACATATAATTGTAGAAAAATTTTATTTTTTCTTCTTTGTAGCGTATAAAACGCGGAAGAACGTTCTTTACGAAAAAAAAAATGGCTTACACGGGAAGTGCAAAAGGTCGAGGTTTTGGAATTTAATGAGACTTGGTATATAGGTACTTCCGAACTCCCTGAAACCTAAGAAGTTGAAAAAAAGTGCGCGAAGTGGCTAGCGGTCTAACGCTCTGGAACCTATGATGCAGGTTTCGAATCCTTTTCGGTGCAATTTATTTTTTTGCCATTTTTTTCTTCGGAAAAAAATAAGGAATTTTTGAAGATGGAATAAAAATTAAGCGCTCAAAACTTTGAAATTCCCTATTTTATTTAAAACAAAACTTTCAGCAAATTTTTTTTTGTTTTAAAATTTTTTTTATATGGTCTGTATATTCGTCATAATTTTTGAGCTTGAAAGAGAAAGACGAAAAAAAACTTTGTCCAGAATTTTGCTCAAAACGAAGTAAAATAGTGAATTTCAAAGTTTTGAGCGCTTATTTATATTCCATCTTCAAAAATTCCTCATTTTTTCGAAGAAAAAAAGCTAGAGTTAGACACCGCAACACATTCTCTCCTCCCTTCCAATGCATTTTTTGCGTGCAAACTTTGAGGCGCCATAACTCTTCTAGAACCAAAAAGGCGCACTTTTTTTCAACTTCTTAGGTTTCAGAGTGTTCGGAAGTACCTATATACCAAGTCTCATCAAATTCCAATACCTCGACCTTTTGCACTTTCCGTGTTAGGGCAAGCGGGCGTGGCTCTACGGTCCGTACCAACGCTTTCTTGATTTGCGAGAGCCGGATAATATATCCATATCAATCTCACCACGTATCCTTTTTATTGACTGACCGTGTGGATACATACCTCGATTAACCTTTGAAGTAACTGTGAAAATGAACAGACTGAACAAAAGGGAAAATTAAGTTTTTCAAATTCTCAAAACTTCTTTGAAGCCAACGCAATTCACACTGCCAAAAAAGAGATGAGGAACAATTTCACATTATCGACTTTCTCAACAAAAAAAAAGTTAAAAAACAAAAAACAAAAAATGAGCCAATCAATTCAACAGTAAAGGAAAACATTTTGAAGTGAATAAACATGCTCTAAGTCAATTCTATCCAAAAACATCATTATGATTTGAAGTAATCGAGAAAAATCAGACGAATTGATGTTAAAACAACATGAAAACAAAGAAAAGAAAGATAAAAAGGTTTAAAAGGGCTTGGCAAGGTGCTCAATAATCTCCTTTTTGCGTTGTTCGTTCATTTGTCCTTTGGAAATGAGACCGTTCAGAATTTTTTCCATCGTAAGACAACTGTAAAACGATTTCGAATAAAAAAAGATTTCACAAAAAAATAATAGCAGAACGTAAATAGAGATTTTCCGACGAAAATGTTTCTAAGGACTTTCAAAAGGACACGTGGAAGACATCCATTGAAATCACTAACTTCTTAGAATAATAGTAAAAACATGTTTTAGTTTGAATTCACATCCTTAAAAAAACCCTCTAAAGTTTTTTTTCTTTAAATAGAGTAACCTGAAAAAATTACCTCAGGAATTGAATTTTATCTTGTTGAAGGTTCTGCACGGCACCTTGTTGTCGATCGAGAACAGCTACTGAATCGGCCACCTGAAAAGAGATTTTGGTCTTCTTGAAACGAAGGCATTTTACAAACCAAGTCACTCAACGGTGACCCACATTTTTTCCGCCAATTCCGTCTTTACTTTTGTTCATTTCGCACCCTTTTTTTTCTTATTCCATCTGACATTTTTACCTGATTCTGTACTTTGGAGACCGAAAAGGCACAAGCTTCAGGTGTGCTCATATGACTATTCAAATCGATAAAATTTTCTCACCAGCAATCCTTCTTTTCTGATTGCCTCAGCTGTCTCCCGAATCGAATCTCCCGTCGTTACGACGTCTTCGACCAGAAGAACCGTCCCTCCAGCGCTGTAAACACCCTGAAATCGGATGATTCAGATGCGAAGTTTAACGTTACTACGGAAACATGTGCGAAAGTGGAAGTTTTTTGCAGATGGGGAAATTCGGTAGCATGCCATACGTCGGCTGGATCCCACCCAAGGCTTTTGCGCGCGAAAAAAAAATTTGAAAAGTACTGAAGAAGGCCGTAGGGTACGGTCTTCCCTGAATATCGAGTTGAGAATTGAGACTTTGTGGGTTGACAGGCCAAGGAAAGAGCAATCGGCATCAAAAATAAAATTCTGCTAAACGACAATCGCTAACCAAACCCATATGCATTGGAAAAGTTTCGAAGAGCTTATTTCTTCATCGACATGTTGAGACTTTCAGAACCTTCTTCTGGTACATCGAGGAATTTTCTGGCCGAATTTCGCAAATTTCTCAACCGAAAAGTGAAATGACCTTCCCTGTCAGAAAAGTTTTCAACAAAAAAAAAGGTGGCCTTGTATTTCAGTTAAATTGAAATTTATTCTACTTGAGCTCGGGAGGAAAAATAGGTTTTATTTTGTATTTTGGCTACAGTAACCCTCAAAAGTGGCAGATCCTGTCAACACATCGACCGAACGTTTTAAAGACTAGTGCAGCTGTGGTGATAAAGGAATGAGCTCAAAAAAAGCAACATAAACTTTTCGTACCACTGTTTTGGCAACTCATCGAGTCTCTCGTATAGTGCGTTCCGCGGAGGTGGTCACTTTTTAAAAGAACAGAAAAAACCCTACCGAACACAAAGTTTTGCTCAACGAAACTGCTAAAAAGACAGCAGAAAACAAAGTTCTTGACGCGAAGATGCTCAATTTTGATTTAATTTGACAGACGGTATTTTTAGCGGAAAGAAAAACGTGACAAGCTGGCGCGGAATAGGCTATAGAACGTGTGTTGACAGCCAAAAAAAACCTCGATAAATAACCTCAATGAGCTTTTTCGTGCCGTAGGACTTGGCCTCTTTGCGCTTCATCAACATAGGAACGTCCAAAATGTCAGAAACCAACTGGAAAAGAGATAATTAATAACATTGACACTTTTTTTTTCGTTCGTTCTGCCCTTCTTTCAAAGTGATCCCAAACGATACCGTGGCCAAAGGAAGAGCGGCATAAGGTACACCGACAATGTAGTCAAACTGTAATTCTCGCTCTTCGATGATGTCGCAAAGGGCTCGGGCAGCTAGCCTCTTAAGTTAATGATCATTGGTTAAACGATATTTTGATTCAAAGAAAAACTACCAAAATTCGAGGGGCGCTAATCACACGGCGGAGATCGATGTAAATCGGAGTCATTTGGCCAGATTTCAAATAGAATTCTCCCAGGCGGAAAACCTTTTAAAAAAAACCAGTTCATGTTTGATAATTTTGACACGTTTCAAGAAAAAAAAAACCAGCCGTACACCATTTTGAACGGAAGATTTAGAATATCATCAGCAAAATATAACAAAATGTTGAGAACTTTCATAATCGAAAATTGCTGATTATATTCCAATACTACGAAACGATCACATATCTTCTGTTACAGAAGATATCTGATCGTTTCTACGTATTAGGATATAATAAATATTTTACTTCAACAACTACTTTGTCTAGCAAAATATAACATTAAAAAGATTCAGTTTCTTAATTTCAAAGAAAAACAAATCGTAGACTGAAATAATTCGAGACAGATCCAACTATGCAGCCGAAAAACATTACACGGCGTTTTTTTTATTACGCAAGGTCAAGACTTCTCGTAAATTATGATGTTTAGGGTGTAAGCACACCGAGACGCACTAACGAATACTCAAAAATTGTTTTTTTCAATTTTAGAATTTGCAATTTTAGGATAATAACTTCTGAAATGTTCGAAATCTTGTCAGTTTGAAGATTATGATGTGAAAAAAACATTCACTTGCGTTAAAAAATTTAGGAACGATTTCGGAAGGGGAAAAACTCTAAATTACTGATTACAAAAATAAAAAAACATAAATATTATGAAGGTGAATCAGCTCCCATTGAATAAGCAATTGTAAATACGAAAAATATTGAAATGAGGAAAAATTCGAGGAGCAAATGAAAAAAAGAAACATTTTATATACCTTGAAAACCTAGCTTCAGAAAAACAAATAATGGATAGGAAGCAGAAATTTTCAGAAAAAAAACCTCGTATGGCGAAATGTTTGTTTAAATCCGAAAAACCATGAACACGGCGTTCTTGTCAGTGAAAGAAAATGCAGAAAAAAAATACCATGGGCGGGCGCCGTAAATCGTACGGCAGCAGTAGTTTTGATCTGTTTAGGACCCGTTTTTGGAATACAAGAACCCACCCTTGACCTTGCGTAATAAAAAAAACGCCGTGTGAAACAACTGGAAAAAAAATATAATTTAGATGATTCATATAACAAAATCTTCAAACTGCATCAGTAAATTCAATTTGGCTCTAATTTACACGAAACTGGTTTCAAACTACGCCAAAAGAATTGGATAATAACTTGTACTTATAGAAAAAAACGTTAAAAGAAGTATTAATAAAGAAAAAAGCAAAAAACATGCTTTTTTTCAACTAACTCTTTCCGTAAATCTTGCGAGAGCTTCAAAGGGTGGGTATTGTAATCCAAAAACGGGTCCTGAACAGACCAAAACTACTGCTGCCGTACGATTTACGGCGCCCGCCCCAGGTATTTTTTTCTGCATTTTCTTTCACTGACAAGAACGCCGTGATTATCAATTTTAAAAGAAATGGAAAAAGCTCTTTACGAACCTCCAAATCGTAGAAAGCGCTGAAAAGCTGATGTTCGGAGATCAAGCAGCTGTCAGAGTGACCATTTTTGTCGTTTCCATTGACAACAGCCATTTTTTTCTACTACACAGGATTTGGCAACAAAGTAGGAAAAAATGAGCCATTAGAGTAAAATAAAATGATGGCTCAACCACCACTTCAAAAGAAATCGAAAAAATTTACTGTAAAGAAATTCATTCTGAAAAAAATTTCGAGTTAAAATTATCACGAATAAAGTATAAATTCAAACAATTGCAAAGTTTAACATGACAAGATGAAGACGAAAATTCCAGATGTACATGTCTTGTGTATTCCACACCTGAAACCTTTCCAAGAGCACAACATCCGTCAGCTGATCGGAAAAAAAATTCTTTTCTAGTTTCACTCAAATGCTCAACATCCTTCTGAACGGAAAATGATTTTTGCAAGGCTACGTTGGTTTTCAGTATCTTCTAACGGACTTTTTTTTCTCTTTGAAAACGCTTAAGATATCTATACATGAGATAGAACGATAGAGTAAACACGGGAAAACAGGCAACAAAATAATCATGGCCTTGGGGGTGCGATTGTATAACTTTTCGGGATGCTCTTCCATTCTTTCTCAGTTCGTTTGTAGATCATCTGACGGGGAAAATGACCGAGTTTTTGATTTTCTCGGAGCTCTTTCACAGCCTAAAAAAATATTTTTTCAAAGAAATTTCCGTCTATAGTCGATTGCAGACTGGCTTTGAACGCAAACTGGCGTGGTCTGCATGCGCTCTTCACCAAGCAGGCCTGTACCTTTTTTATCGTTTCAATACGTTTCAATAAAGGCAGCGAAAGGCAGCAAAGAGAGTCCCTTTATTGAGCCTTCAATTTTTCTGGGATTTTGAAGACTCGAGAAATGTTGGAGAAAGGGAGAGGCAGCAAAAAGGGTTTATATGGGCTGAGAAAATGGCGCAAAAAGCAGTAAAAAGGGAGCCTTCATCACCCTAAAAGGAACATTTCTATGAACCGATATAGACCCTCGGAGGGTCCTTCCGACTTTGCCTATGAACGCGGAACTTTTACTATTCAAAAGAAACTTTCAAATGATCGGAATGGAATTTTATGATATTGTGTCCAACGTATTTCCTGCATTTTCGAAATTCTTGAAATAGCCGAAATTACTTCTTACACGGCACAAAAAAAATCGAAACTACCGTGGAGAATTGGAACTAGAAGCTTTTTTTTTTTTTGATAATCCTTAGGAAGGAATATGGAAAGCTCATCTTTGAGAGCAAGTTTGCTGTAAGAAGTTTAAATTTGATGGCAAAAAATGAAATCAATAAGGAACAAAAATAATCTTTTTTTCGGTGGCATGAAATAAAAACCAGCGAAACTTCCTACGGTGACTTTTCCGATTCGTTCAAAAACTCCCTGACAGTCTATATGAAGATCTCTCATGATCGCTACCTGCGCAAACTTCTAGTAATTGAGATATTAATTTTTGAAGTTCGCGTTTAGCACAGAATTGGACCCCACAAGGATCGCATTTTAATTCGCGGCTTGAAGTTTTCTACAAATTTTTCCAAAAAATCTCTGAAGGTTTCGATGAGGATCCATCAAAGTTTTACCACCCATTTTTCACAACTTTTCGACGTTCAAAATTCGTTATCTCAAAAACTAGAAGCTGACGCGGGTTGCAACTTTGATGGATCTTCTTATAAAACCCGCATTCGGATAGTTCCCTAGTGATATGAAAAAATCGGAAAAGTCGCTGTCATACGTGGGCTAACAGGCTGTTTTTCCCTTTCGGGCCCCCCTATTCATTCAGATGGCTTTCTAAGCCGCGGAAAATGCATCCATATTATTTATCGAGCTTTTCAAAGTACATTTAGTAGGAAATTCGTTGCCTATCTTTTTGCCGAGCTCCGAACGGTAGATAAAATTGCGGGGAATCGTAGAAATAGCCTTATAAAAAATTCCAGAGCTGATAAATCGACCTGAATTCTAGCTTAAATGGTACCAATGGATGATACTAACATGCTCACCAAATTTTAAGCCTTTTGGAAAATTAAAAAAAATAATCAACTTCTGACCCCATAAGAAAATGATTTCTGGAAATCTACAATTTTTTGGCTCAAAATTACTATCAACCTTGAGTTAACCCTAAATGAGGTATATGCAACAAGTTTCCAGGCTTCCGGACGTTTTTTGACCAAGTTAGAGTGTTTCAAAGCGTTGTCACTTGACGGTTTGCGTACCCCCCCGTACTCCCCCAAAATCCGAAAATCGATCTGTTTTCAATGTTATCCTACATTATGAAATGAGTTTTATGATCTGGCCAAGTTTCAAGCCGTTTGGATGAGTTTTAAGAAAAAAATAATTTTTTTGGGTCTCCGGAAATTGATATTTTGAAATTTTTGAATTTTTTTTGGCTCAAAAAAACATTATCAACCTTGAGTTAACCCTAAATGAGGTATATGCTACAAGTTTCCAAGCTTCCGGACGTTTTTTTGACCAAGTTAGAGTGTTTCAAAGCGTTGTCACTTGACGGTTTGCGTACCCCGAACTCCCCCAAAAATCGGAAAAATCGATTTGTTTTTCAATGTTATCCTACATTATGAAATGAGTTTTATGATCTGGCCAAGTTTCAAGCCGTTTGGATGAGTTTTAAGAAAAAAATAATTTTTTTGGGTCACCGGAAATTGATATTTTTGAAATTTTTGAATTTTTTTGGCTCAAAAAAACATTATTAACCTTGAGTCTACCCTAATATGGGTATATGCTCCAAATTTTCAAGCTTCCGGACGTTTTTTGACCAAGTTACAGTGGTTCCCGACCGGGACGCATGGTGGCAAAATTTACGCTCCGCTTTCACTGTATGTTAACGCCGTGAGGATGAGTTGAAAAAAAAATGAGCGTTAGGGTGAAATTTTCTCCAAATCAAATATGTTGTAGAACACGATTTTTGCGATTTTTTGAAAAAAAAACTGAATATCCTCACTCGAGCCGTTTTCGAGATACGGTGGCTCAAAGAAGTACGGTAGACCCCTTCGAAAATCTATATCTTGACAAAAATTCGACGAAACTCAACCAAAGTTTGTAATGAGGTGCAATATAATTTTATTCAATTTTTGAAAATCTATCACTTCATTATTGCTTATTATTGCTCATATTAGAGAACTTTTCTCAAAAAAATCAAAACCAGTATATGACGTTGCCGTCCGGCGTATTGTCTTGTTGCTTTCGAAACCACAAAAAAAAATACTCTATCTACTGAGCAAAACATGAATTAGGCGAGTTTTCCATCTAAGACCCGAAAACTCCAAAAAACATGTAATTTTGGGTAAGATTACCGAATAACTTTTTTATCTCGTGTTTTTTTGGATTGAAACTAGCGGAATCGAGATCAGCATGGATTCTTACATCTACTAGGTCATTTCTCAAAACGAAACAAGGAAAAAAATCGAAATTTCAAAAACATCACTTTCCGGTGACCCAAAAAAATTATTTTTTTCTTAAAAACTCATCCAAACGGCTTGAAACTTGGCCAGATCATGAAACTCATTTCATAATGTAGGATAACATTGAAAACAGATCGATTTTTCGGATTATGGGGGAGTACGGGGGTACGCAAACCGTCAAGTGATAACGCTTTGAAACACTCTAACTTGGTCAAAAAAACGTCCGGAAGCCTGGAAACTTGTAGCATATACCTCATTGAGGGTAGACTCAAGGTTAATAATGTTTTTGAGCCAAAAAAATTCAAAAATTTCAAAAATATCAATTTCCGGTGACCCAAAAAAATTATTTTTTTCTTAAAACTCATCCAAACGGCTTGAAACTTGGCCAGATCATAAAACTCATTTCATAATGTAGGATAACATTGAAAAACAGATCGATTTTTCGGATTTTTGGGGGAGTACGGGGGTACGCAAACCGTCAAGTGACAACGCTTTGAAACACTCTAACTTGGTCAAAAAACGTCCGGAAGCCTGGAAACTTGTAGCATATACCTCATTTAGGGTTAACTCAAGGTTGATAGTGATTTTGAGCCAAAAAATTCAAAATTTCAAAATATCAATTTCCGGTGACCCAAAAAATTATTTTTCTTAAAACTCATCCAAACGGCTTGAAACTTGGCCAGATCATAAAACTCACTTCATAATGTAGGATAACATTGAAAACAGATCGATTTTCGGATTTTGGGGGTCTACGCTAAAAGTTGAAATATTTCTGTTTTGGAGTATTGACACCTAGCTGAATATACTTCCAAAAGCCCGCGAAACAAGATAATAGTCTCATTCAATTCTTATATTAACTTTAATAATCATTTCACATTGATAGTTTTCCGCGGGGGGGTACGTACTTTTTCGAGGGGAGTACGTACTTTTTCAAGGGGGGTACGTGATGACGTCACAAAAAGTAGTTGGTTAGCCCATGTATGGTCGCTGTTCAAAAACTCGCATTTTTTTTTCGTACTACCTATTTTTTCCCAACTACAAGTAATTCAAAGCGCTCAGCGCTCGAAAGCGACATGCTACAAAGTACGAACGTTTAAAAGATGTGACCGGTGCGACCGGGCACGCCTTTATAGCATACCCTCAAAAGCACCGATGAGGAAAAAGATTAATAAACCTTCAGAAACACAGGAAAGCACCAAAAAAAAAAGAAACCGTTCTTTCCGCCGGTGGCTTCAAAATTTCCTCTAAATTGCACGGAGCGTCTATGTTCGCCGTTTCAACAGGTAGAACATCGACATGAACCTTGAAAAAAATCTTTTTTTTTATCACCTCGAAAAAAAATTGTTATTAACCGTATCCAAATCATTGATCAGAATCGATTTCGTCTTTTTGCGAGCATCTGTCGACATATGGGTTTGGAAAAGAAAGAAACTGGAATTCACGCTTTCAAGAGACCATTTTCCTCTGACACCTTACTTGGCAGCGTATACAGGCTCTTTAGTTTGTTTCGCTATCCGTTTATATGGCAAATCTCGGTGCCCCAACGATTCCACCTCAACGAAACAGGACATTTCTTCGAGTAAAAATCTTTCTGAAACCTTTTCGATGACTGCCCCATTGTTTAGTAGAGTATTGCCAGCGCGAACCAAAGCTTTGACGAGGTTTGACTGGAAAACTTGATTAATATAACTGGAGAAAAAGAATTCTTCCACCGGTATTTTTACAGAGAACTTCACGTGTATCCTCCCTAAAATCCCCATCAATGCGCGTTTTCACCTTTGTTCAGTTTTTTCGATCGTCTTTTATGCCGTGTTCAAAGTAATTTCGGCGATTTCAAAATTGACGCGTTTTTCGTTCAAAATGATTTCGGGTAATAGGTGAAATTGGAATTCCTAGAGGGCTCAGAAGAAATGAGTACTACAAAGATATATCGCGAGAAACAGTACCGGTCATAAAGACACGAACACTCATATTTTTGACCATACCTTTTTTCAATTAATCCCGATTGCTGTAAAACTTCACATGAATATTTATTATGGCCCGATACACGTCATTGGAAACATGAAAGCTTTCTAAGTGAACGAGATTTCAAAATATAGTCAAAAACGAGATCCGCCAATAACGCCGAAAAGCCAACTTTTTTTTTTCGAAAATCACCTACTCTGAAAAAATTTTAAAGCTCAAAGCTATTTTTCCTTGTGCTACAGGTCTTTCACTACGTTTTGACGAATTTTGACGCAATTAAAAAGTAAAACTTTGAAGTGAGTATAAACTTGGAATGTCGCTCAACCCAAGACTTTCAAATACATTAAAAAAACTCGCATGAAAAACCGAAGAAGAAAAAAACAAAAAAACATACTTTAGACAGCGATCTTGTTATCACTGTAACTTCATAGAACGGCATAGCAATTTGATATCCAGTCGAGCGTGCTCTTCTAAAGAAAAAAAAAGGTTAAATATTTAATAAAATAAAAATTGTAAAGAAGCGAAATAAAAAACATGATAACGATTCGAAGACGCTAAATCACCACTTTTATGTGATATCACGATATACCATTGAAGCCGCGTTTAAAATTCTTGAGGCAATTATAAAATTGACGTTTTTATCGTTCATGCCGTATACTAATTAAAAATATCGCGAAGTTCTAATATATCTTTGAATCCACGATATCTGGTTGTCTTTTCACTCTCTGACAGTTATTTTTTACTTCGCAGAAACCCGTTATACACTGAATATTTATACACCTAATTTTTTTCACAGCCGTCAGAGCGGCCGTTAAATTATTTTAATGGCGTTTTTATTGGAGAAACGGAACATGCTTCAAAACGAAAAATCGTGTTCATCGGCGCACCGAAGTTGCTCCAAAACAGCACTAATTTTTGTTTCGAAGCAATTTTTTTGCCTTTCAGAACAACTTTCGTTTTTTCCAATGAACACGGCACAAAATCACTTTGAAAACGGAATAAGAAATTCAAGCCTATCCGTGCAGGAGCCTATGATGCAGCGAGGCTGCGCCTTTAATAAGCGTGCGCGCAAAATGATGATTTCGAACGCTTTTCCTTTTTTTTTTTGCTAAATTCACGTTATAGTTCTGTCATTTATTTCAGTTTTTTTTTGCGAGATGATTCGGGAGATTATCATGCCGTGTTCATTGGACAAAACGAACATTGCTTCGAAACGCAAAAAATCCAAAACAAATTAGTACTGTTTCGGAAAAAAATTGTCATCTTTCTTGGGTGCTTATTTTTCTGCCGTAGATTTTTTTTTTGGCTGACGAAACTTCCTCATTCTGATTTGAGTGTGCTAAAAAAGCGTGAGGTTACTGCAAGAAATTTGAGAAGTGATTCCTGAATTTTTCTCAAAATTTGAATCAACATATGTGGCGAAAAAATTTAACGAACTTTTTTAAATCAAATTTCCTAATGTGTGTACATATTCCAGAAAAATGGCTCCAAAAAAAGGCGGAGACGGTGCAGTCGCTGTTCAACCCAACATGGACATTCTCAAACAAAAGGCTGGTCCTCATCATTGCTTGGGCAATGTTCACGCTAATCTACCAGTGAACAAGGTGAATAGAGTATATTTTTTACACTTTTACGAAACAATTTTGAGGTAACCGTTCATCCTTTGGTTCTTCTGAGCGTCGTTGACCATTTTAACCGCGTCAGGAAAACACAGAGCGTAAAAAGAGTCGTTGGAGTTCTGCTGGGATCGATGAAAAAGGACAAAACTATGGATATTGGCAACAGCTTTGCAGGTTTTTTTTTCGAAGATTGCCTCGGAAAATTGAAAATTAAAAAATTTGAAATTTCTCAAAAGAAAAGTTTTTATCGTTCACTAATTTTTGTTTTCCAGTTCCATTTGATGAGGATGAAAAAGACAAGAATACCTGGTTTTTGGACATGGACTACCTGGAGAGTATGTACGGCATGTTTTATAAGGTGAAACTTTCTTGTAATTGTACAACTTTCTAACTTTGACTTCATCCAGTTCTCATTTTTCGAAGGAACTGGCAATTCATCATTTTCAGGTGGCAGCGAAAGAGAAGATTGTTGGCTGGTACCACACGGGCCCGAAATTGCACAAGGTAAGTGGTGAAACGCGTCGTGAAGCGCCAGTGTTTCCTTTGGCGCAATGGATAGCACGTCGGCCTGCCGTGCCAAAGGTCGAGGGTTCGAGTCCCCTCGCCAACTTCGCATACGGGACGCGTGATGAACATATACGGATCACTGGGCTCTGAACCTCAATGAAACGATAGCTTCCGTTCTGATTCCCTTTTCGCGACAGAAATATTTAAACATATGTGTTGACCTTTTTTGGCAAAGAAGAAATACTTTTGGGCGCGAGCAAACTAGAGTCTGCAAAAATGATTCAAAAAATGACAGAAACAAAAATCTATCGACCAATCTTTTAGTCAACATTTCCTTAAAATGTCACCTAAAATATGAAGTGTTAACATTTTGGCTGAACAAAAAGTTAACATGCCGAAAAATGTGAACTATCGTTTTTTTTTCGACAGATCAACATTTAATCTGAAAAAACCATAAAATACGTGCTACAAGATAGAATGATTTCAGAACGACATTGCGATTAACGAGCAAATGAAACGTTTCACACCGAATCCCGTCCTTGTCATCATTGACGCCGAGCCAAAAGACATTGGTCTTCCGACCGAGGCCTACATCGAAGTGCAGGAAGTTCACGATGTGAGAGAGAGATAAACTGATTTGAAATGAATTGTGTTTTTTCCCTATAAAAGAAATAGAAAGACAAAAGTATTTTAGGACGGAACTCCGCCAATCAAGACATTTGAGCACGTCGCCAGTGATATTGGCGCAGAGGAGGCGGAAGAGGTTGGCGTTGAACATCTTCTTCGGTGAGTAGACACGTCACAAACGAATGATTGCAATTTTCTTTCAGCGATATCAAGGACCAAACGGCTGGAACCTTGTCTCAACGCATCACGGATCAGTTGATGGGTCTCAGAGGCCTTCAGTCTCAATTGGAAGCCATCGAAAAGTTGGTTTTCCTTTTCTTCGACAAAAGTTGGTTCAACTCGAGTCGTCGAGGATTTATCAACTGAAATTTTCCATGTAACTTTTCTAGGTACCTCCAAGAAGTTGCGTCCGGAGCTCTTCCAGTGAATCATTCGGTTATTTACTACGTTCAAGTATGTTATTTTTCTAAATATAATCTTTCTCGTTCGTTTACTAATGTTCCTAATAATTCACATTTGAAGGAAGTTTTGAATCTGTTGCCCGACGTGACCCACCCCGACTATGTCGTTTCACAGACAATGCAGACCAACGACCAGCTCATGTGCGTCTACATGGGCTCATTGGTCCGTGCCGTCATCGCCCTTCACAACCTCATTGACAACAAGGTTGGTTTTCGCGGAGTTTTTGCCGGGTCAGAAAAAAGTAGTTTAAGCTGGGGAGGGCAAAAGCCGCTTTTTCACACCACGGTGGTACGATTTTATCTCAAGTCCGCAAATCTCCGGAGCCGTTATCTCAGAGTACCGTAATCTCAAGGCCCATAATCTATGAAACCACTTATCTCCGAAAATAAAAAACTTCACTTTTCTTTCTCTTTTTTGCATTTTATTTTCATTTGTTTCTTGTGTTGTGCTCAGAATAAAATCTCCGATCGAAACTTTTCGCCGAACCCTAATTTATTCATCAAATTTCTACTTTTATTGGAAAGCTGAACAATTTTAAGTTAAGCCACTTTCGAAGCTCGAGTTTCACTCTTTTTTTCTTTGCTGTCCACATGAAAAAGTGATCAGAGAAGCTGAAGGACAAGAAAAAATAGAAAGAAATATCAATTTGAAAAATTAAAAATTATTTTCATTCAGTGGAAAAAATAAAAAAAGTTTGAAAAACGAAAATATTTGGCTTTCGTACGCAGTTTCGATCGGAGATTGTATTCTGAGCACAACACAAGAAAAGAATGTTAATAAAATGCAAAAAAGAGAAAGAAAATCGAAGTTTTTTGTTTTCGGAGATCAGTGGTTTCGGAGATTATGGGCCTTGAGATTACGGTACTCTGAGATAACGGGTCCGGAGATTTGCAGACTTGAGATAAAATCGTACCATCCACACCACCAAATCGACTATTTTGGCTTTTCTTCCATGTTCAAAACATAACTAAAAAAATTATAAACCTAAATATACGTAATCGGCGTCGCTCTACAAAACTCGAATACCAGAAATTGAAAAAAGGCAAAAATGCGAAATGTTTCCTTTTTTTGAAAGAAATCATGCGAGTGAGCGTCGGTGTGTTTGCTTCGAAAAACTCTGACGCCGGCATTTAAATGTTGCAGGAGCCGTTTTTGTCATCGTCATTCAATTTTTCACTTCTTTCTGTTTTATTTCTAATTAAGAGCATTTTTATATTATTGTTTATCTCATTAAAAATCGAATGATGATGATGCGAAAAAAATTCCTTCTGACCTTCTCCAGTTGAACGCCACGCGCGCTCCTTTTTGGTCATAAATATTTTCATAGTGGACTGTTGTCCAGAAACTAAACGGATTATGAATATTACCAGGTTCCTCTATCAAAAAGTTTGATTTTTTTGAATCATTTTTGAAATTGCGGTCCCTAGTTAAAGCCAGAGCTTCTGACAAGGCGACAATCTCTGCAGAATATATGAACAGTCTCTTCTTTTTTATACGTTTTTTTGGTGCAGAGGGCGCCAGAAGAGAAAAAAAACAGTGCCGTACGCTTTTGACACACACATCAAACAATTTTTACAAAGTACATCGTGTTTTCACCGTTCACAGATTCTGCAGAGCCGTTGAGTAGAAAAGTTGAAATGAAGTAAGTAAAAAAAAAGGGAGAGAAACGGATAATAAGCATCGTTTAGTGGAAGAAAATGAAAATTTAATCACAACATTGATTAACTGACGAGATCTTTTAATAATATGACCGCGGGACAAGGCGCATGTGTCTCATCAGCAGCTCTGGTTTTACCATTGACTGAGTAACTAAACGAGGAAAAAAAAAACTATGGAATCTCACCTTTTTGTCAATCCCTTGGCACTCCTTTTTCATTGCAGATCTCACTGCAAAAAGCGGAAAAGGAACAAGAGACGCCAGACGCCGACAAAGACAAAAAGAAAATCCACGAGAAGAAGGAAAAAGACGCGTCCAAGTCTTCCAAGAAAAAATGAAATTTTTTTCCCCAATCAAGTTTCAAAATACTCGTTCATTTTTTGGTCTCGATCATCTTCATTGTTTGCAATTCCACCTTGTTTTCGTCTATTATTTTCATTTTCCCAAGGAAATCTTAGCAACTTGCTCTTTCTTCGTTTATTAACCGAATGTGATCGAGAAGGGACGCTTCTTTTCTTCGAGTATGTAAATGAACCAATTTTTCCCTAAAGATTTATCCGTTTTATCCAATCGATAATAGAAAAGCGTTCAAGGATAAAGTTTTTACGTGTCAGGAAATTCGATGCAATCAGTGAATTTTAAGGAAGAAAAAATCATTCGTAAAGCGGATACACGGGCTGACTTAAGCTATCGACAAAGGGTCCAAGCGCCGGTAATTATCACCCATTATATGTGAACACTTCGCAATAGGGCGCACTTGGCTTTACGCATATTTCGCGGAAATCCGAATCCTTCACTAAGAATAACTGACGAGATAAACGCGAGGTCGGTGGCGGTACATTGACAAACTCGCAAAAATGTCGCCTTTTTCTAAGCGCGATCTCGCATTTATCTCGGCGCGAACTCGCATTTTTCTCGGCGCGACCTCGCATTTATCTTGCATTTCGGAAATTTTCAAAATGCGAGAGAAATGCGAGCTCGCGCCCAGAAAAATGCGAGACCGGCGCGAGAAAAAAAGCGAGATGTTTGCGAGCTCGTCAATGTACCGCCAGTGTCTCGCGTTTATCTCGGCAGTTAATCTTAGTGTTTCTATCTCACCTCGTTTTTTCTGAGTTTTTCATTTGTTTTTATGATTTATAAATAAATTACAGGGTGGGGAATACTTACTGGGACGAAAGGAAAGGGGCTACCGTTTGCGTAAAAAGATTCCCAAAAATCGAAAAAAATTGCCAATGAGACCGTGTAGTCATCATCAGAATTGTACGGGAACCGGCCCGTCAGTCTATTGGCCCCCGGCCATTTTCTAAGCACGGTTTGGCCTTAGGAGGCGTAAAATAAAGAAGAACGGGCTCAAATTTTGTTCAAGTGGAATATCAAGCTTTTTACAACAGAAGTCAAATTTTTGCTGGTTAATTCACTCACAGGCCAACATAAACTATGATTTAACAACATTTAACAGTGCAGTTTAGAAAAATTTTCGAAGTCTGGCCCAAGCCTGCGCAAACCTTTTCTCAAAAATGAAGCCCTAAGTTCGGGCGCACGTCCTGACCCACAAGCATGTTCATCGTTAATGATAACTGCCGAAATGAAGACAATATTGCTGGCGGTATATTGACTAACTCGGAAAAATCGCTCTGTCATCGCGCGAGTCTCGGACTTTGGAAGTTTTCAGTGCGTGAGAAAACGCGAGACCCGCTCGAGGACATCGTTTTTACTTTGATACTTTGATGGACCTTCGCTGATGTGCTCAGTGCTGACCATACTTCCTCAATATGTTTCTGTTTCTTGCCGCGATCCTCTAATTTCGACCAGGACCGCTGAGCACATTGCGAGTTCGTCAAACGTACCGTCAGAGCGAATTTCTTCCGCGCCAGACTCGGCAGTTATGCCGTGTTCAAAGTAATTTCCGCGAAATGCAAAATACCCGTTAGAGAAAGGAAAAGATCACTAAATTTTGGAGAGTCAGAGATCATTTTGCATTTCGCGGAAATTACTTTGAACACGGCATTATCTTTAGTGGCACAAGATACTAGAAAAAATTTCCAAAAATCTTTGTAGCTTATGCTACAGAGATTTTTCAACAGTTTACCTAGTTTCAAGCACATAAAACGGGGTCTCGCTTTTTTGACTGTTATCAAACTTACTCCAAATTTTGTGTGAAAATTCAGTGTAATGTTTTCCGAGCCATTTTGAGACTCCCTGCTCAAAACTTGTAGCAAAATTGATCTCGATTATCTACGTGCCGCAGAAATTCGTTTGCTACGAGATCTTCTATCTGAAGCACGTGCCACATAAGATTTTTTTATTTTAAAAATCATGAAGTGGATTCCGCACCCTGTAATTTATTTATAAATCATTAAAACAAATGAAAAACTCAGAAAAAGCGAGGTGAGATAGAAATAATTCGGATTTCCACGAAATGGCGCAAAATCAAGTGCGCCCTATTGCGAAGTGTTCACATATAATGGGTGATAATTACCGGCGCTTCAAAGGGTCCTGACACAATAAGAAAGGAGACAGTGCTTTGTTAGTGGGAAGCGAAGACAGGACACGCCTTTTCGCGTCTCAAGCTAGCCGTGAAAAGACTAAATCTGATTCACGGCCAGCTTGGGGCGCTAGGGTGGCGTGTCCTGTCTGCGAATAATATGTATTTTGCCGTTCTAGCGCACCTTTTCGCCCATCCTCAATTTTCTCATTTTTTAAGCCATTTCAAGGCTTATTTTCATTGATTTTGTGTCTCAACTCTTCAAAAATGTGTAATTTTAAGCAATTTTCAAAAATGGTAAAAAGGTCGAAATGCGCTACCTTAAAAATGTGGTCGAAATGGATGGTCATGAAAAATGCGCAAACAATTCAGATATCTAAATGTATAATTTTATGGGGAAAAATTACTGAAAAATATACTCTTTTTATAATAGCTCACTCCATCATTCATTCACACTAGAAATAAACAAGATTTCTATTAGCTTCAACTTTTTATACTTTAAAAAAATAATTTGAATAAAAAAATACTTTATTTATCAATTAAAAAGCAATACAGTTATAGGCCATTCCGCGCCAGCTTGTCACGTTTTTCTTTCCGCCAAAAGGCCAGGTCAAATTTAACTAACTTTCGCTTCAAGACCTTTGTTTCTTGCCGTTATAAAAGCAGAAATTTGATCTAATTTGGTATACGGTCTTTTTGGCGGAAAGAAGAACGTGACAAGCTGGCGCGGATAGGCTATATTGTTTCACAAGCCGCCAAGTCTCTTCAGCCCAATTCATGCTGTCGATCGTCAAGTTCATTTTACGCATAGCCAACATTCCCAATACGTTCGCTTCCTTGAAATGGCCGTGTGAGAGGTCACATTCGATCACGGAATTTTCATCCTAAAAGGAGTAATTTGAACCACACGGCGTTCCCAAACGGGGTGGCAAGACGTCAAAAAAATTTTCGCGCGAATTTGAAATCTACAGTACTTCAGCCAAAGGCGATCGAACAAACAAGTTATTAACGTTGAATAATCAGTGTAATTGTGACGTAATTTTATCCGTAGCGCGCACTAAATTTTTTCTGTAAATTCAGAAACTTTGACGCCTCGCTCACCTTCCCTCACCCCCATTAGGAATGCCGTGAATCATTAAAAGAATAATCATACAATTGAAAGTAGAAAAACTAAACCTCAATGGCGACATGAAGATTCGAAGGAATCGCGTCGGAGCCGATAAGTTTGCTAACTGTTTTTTTTTGTCAAGAAACGTGCAATTTGATCCGCTATCCACCAAAAACCAGACTTTGACGATTGGCGCATTAGGCTTTTTGGCACGACGACAGTTGAGGCACACCATTAGTCGATTATTTGGCCCGAAGATCAGACCATCCACCGGAAATGCTGGAGATGAGAACAATCTAACACTTAGGTTTTCAATTCCAGTATTGTCGCCGATCTGAAGGCATAGGATAAGATCTGAAGGCATAGGATAAGGAAAAGTTACAATAAAAAAATTGTATAATATTATTAATAATATCTCACATGCTTGAAACCAGCGTCGTTGATGTCCGTCAACATCATATCATGTTTAAACGCTGGCAGTGCATCCATGTTTTCGAACGAGTGCTCCTTGCTGTCAGACGATGACGAACTGGTGCTACGACAAGAGCGAGTTTTCCATTTGCGAGCAGTACTGTATGCGGCAAAGCGCATTGCGTGCATGCACTCTGCGTGTTTACACTTTTGTGGCGTGACGTCATCGCGCCGTACATCTGCGGGTTTTTGCTTGCGGGTTTTCGGATTTTTGAATTTTTCCCGGCTCATTTATTTTTTTCAGAAACAAAAAGAAAACTTTTTAATTGATGAAAACTCTGTTTTGTCAAGGGGGCAGCTTAGGAAAAATGTTTCTTTATAGATAGCTATTAGGTCAACTCCACAAATATGGAGAAGTAAGCTAATATTGATATTTCAAAGAGGAAAATATCAAAAAAATTGCATCATAACAAATACCAGTAATTGAAATAAGTTATATCAAAAAAATAAGAAAATAAGAAAATAACAAATTTTACAGAACCACCATATCAAACAAAAAGTCATTTTCCCAGAAAAATCTTCAAGATATTTTAAATGTATATCGCGGATCGCGAGAAACTATTCTTTTTCTTAACAC